GGGTCACAGCTCGCTCAACTTGTCAATTATGGACGGAGTATATTCATCGTAGTACACGGCGTAAAATCTCTATTTCTGCCGCCATGATTCCCAATTACCTTCAATGCAGCGGAGCTCTCCCAATCACTACGATTGACCTTGACCTGGAATCTTACAGTACCGACAGAATCTCAGCATTCATGGAAATTCTTATTCCCTTCTGTCCCCGTATACGTCTTTTATGCTTGCGCTTGCCATTCGAGGGTATCCATTGCATTGACCTGCCCCGGAGATCTTTCGCTCTATTGGAAGAGCTGGAACTCATCACTACTGTCACCCGAAAACAGAGCAAGAAAGGCTGGAAAAAGTCGGATGGGACATTTTTTAGAGATTGCCCTCGACTTCGCAGATTCACAGCAGTTGGTGGCCTTGTTTATAACTGGAATCCCATAACAACCCTGCCTAGCGACCAGATCCTCGAATTAGACCTTTCTTGCACTGTTTCCCTCCCAACGGGTATTATCTACGTTGGTCTCGTTCTTCCATTGCGATTTTTGAAAGTATTCAGTAATGTCGTGGTCCTCATCCTTTCATTCCAAATGTTTGAGCCTGAGCCATTGGAACTCCTGGCCTTGACCTCGCTTGCCTTAACCACTCGTGATGACAGCTATTCCACCTTCATGGATTCGTTGACGGCTCCCAATCTCATCTCATTTAAACTATCTTTTATGGAGACCCGCCATGGGCAGAGCTGTTCGCCGTTTTCACCCCTCTTGGAATTCCATCGTCGCTGTGCTGCCCCAATAAAAGAGCTGACCTTGTCGCGAGTTGTCAAAATCTTGACGAATGAACTGACAACGCTCCTTGCCTTGTTTCCTTTTCTTGAGAAACTTGAACTTCTAAACTGCCCCCGAGTTGAAGGAAAGAGCATATTCGAGACACTCAAGTTTCAGGGCCAACGTGACGTTGCTATCCTTGTTCCAAAGTTGACTCGGTTTGTGTTTTGTGAATCCAGATATTTCGGTGATGATAAGCAGGAGGCCTACGACGTTTCTTTCGCTGAATTCGTGGAATCTCGCTGGTGGCCGGACATGCAGGAATATAGAGGGGTTAGTCGCCTACAGAAGGTACACTGCGCTTTTCCGAAGTGGCGCGTTGAAAGTGGGGATTTCTTTACTCGTTTGGAAGCTTGTGAAGGCCTAGAGCTGTCTTTCGAGTGCAAGTAACTATTTCTCACACCCGCTTTTTCGCGCTCTACCTTGAATATCAACTGTAGTGCCCGTGCTACCGCTGTTTTTCGCTTTTACTGTACATAACGCAGGGGACATGGCGAGGAGAAAAGTAAATACAAACTAGTGCCCGACGAACATCCTGTGAACTGGATAAGACGAAAACTTGACTTGAATCGATGGCCACTGAGCTCGGGAGTATAACAAGTTAATTCGACGTCCTTTCTCCTTGACTTATCCTACGAAAGAAGGCTGCCGCTACAAACGATGGTCATTGTAGATTGATTTGCTGTGAACCGATAGTCGCGATGACTATTCGCGGCACATACATTTTGCCGTGCAGCCGGTGCGTGGTGCGTGCTTGGTGCGTGCAAATGCGGAGCGTGGTGCGTGCAAGTGCGCGCGTGTCAACTGGGACAAGTCCACTTCGTTGTGTAAAGTTATTTCTACTATAGAATTTACTAGCCTTTCTTGAGCCTTTCTTTTATATCTGTCCCCAAAGCTGCAACTTGGATTGTACACTTAAAGATAAGTAGTGTAAGTATCATCAACATAAGTAAATTGACCTGCACTAGGCACATAGGAGGCTGCCTGATAAGGCAAGAGTAGTATAGAGGTGTACAGGTGTATGTACAGGTTCCAATGTCTACAAAAAACACAAACATTGCTGAAAAGACCCACAACATTTGCATGCACCCACCATCACTTGCACGCATCCGCCATCACTTGCACGCACCTGCCATCATCATTTTGTGGGTGCGTGCAAGTGATGCGGGGTGCGTGCATAGTGCGTGCGAGGGTGTGTGCAAGTGGTGCCGGGTGCGTGCCGGTGCGTGCAAGTGATGCGTGATGCGTACAATTATTGTGTATCTAAGACTCGATATTACTACTAATTAGGTAGAATTTTTGTGTATGCAAGATTGCTCTTGAAAGATTCGAAAAGACGAGTATTATTCAAAATCTTCGGAAGATTATTCAGAATCTTTAAAAACACATTTTTACATTCTTTTACCATCAATACTTCTAGAAATCTGCCAAAGTTTCGTGCAGCAGTGTAGAATTACCTCTTTGGGCCAATTGGCCAAAAAGTTCATTAATATGAAGTCGATAATGTTAGTATATATTACAAAAATACATATTTCGGGCTGAAAAAAATTATATATGTGCACGCACCACGCACCGGCTGCACGGCAAAATCACCTAGCCCCTGCGACGACAAGTGTGTCTATTACTTAGCTTAGAAAAGTTTTGCACAAAGCTTCAGTCTCGAAGACTGATGATCGATTACTTGGGTATCTCGAGTACATTAAGAGTAAGCTATAGTGATACAATTGACAAAATTCCTTCTACTTCATGCGATCAAATAGACGGATGCATCGCATTCGCCTGATTCCTATGCGTGGCAGCTTGCGTCTCTAACATATCTGCTTGTCGGTGTCCGCCAACTGCAGCCTGTTCACGTTGGCCAGCGATGATCTTGTTCTCGCCTTTGATTCTGTAAACAAGCAAATCAGTACACAGTTATACGAATTGGGTGATCGGCTTCTTACCCAAGCGAAGTGCTTCCAGCGATGTTTCCTAATCCGCGTTCGACTTTCCCCTCAATTTCCGTCATTTTGCCGTGTGTTCTACTTGGGTTGCCGGTGTTTACTCCTGCACCTGCACCTGCACCAGCACCCATACCAGCACCAGCGGCGGCAGGAACGACAGAAGGAACACCAGCACCAGCTACAGGGGCGTCATAGGCGGGGGCGTTATAGGCTGGGGCGTTATAGGCGTTTTTGCCCTGATGACGTCCAAGCATTTCGCCACCAACTCCGCCAATGGCAGCGTCCCTCATACCATCTGTGATACAGTTAGCTCGATTCAAGCTGTGGAAGGAAATGCTACTCACGACCGCCTCCATGTCCCACTGCAGCACCGGTACCAGCACCAATTAGCCCATCACGGTTTCCGTGAGTACCTGGAGCGGTACCGTTGCCGTGGTGGCCCAGCTCATGACCAGCGAATCCGCCAACGGCAGCATCCCGACCTGTGTGTCCGTGATGGCCTTCGTGGCCAAGGACACCGCCAGCACCGGCACCGAGAGCTGTATCCCGACCAGTGTGGTTAGGAACGGTAGTGTTGTTATTGTTTCTAAACATATTGATTGTGAATGAAGTTTTTCGAGTAAAGGTTGGGTTTAGTTTGTAAAAGTAGTTAAGTTTGCAGTGTTCGGAATCGTATAAATACCTACAAGAAGCTCGCTCCAAGAGTACAAACGATGAATCGATGACCGCCTGGACGAGTAATCGCTGTGTCAGAGTTGGAGAAAATGACGTTCTGCGCCCCAAAGCCCAAAAGGCTATTCTAATGTGCGCCCCAGCGGCGTGCGACTACCCCCATGACGTCATACTATTCCCTTCGGAGGGACCAAGCCGCTCCAGCAGACCGTAGTGCCATGAGGTCATGAGCCTCCCATGCGGCGCAAAAAATTGGAGTTGATTCTCATGCACATGAGTCACCTTTCAGCGAACGAGGATCAAAATATCAAGTCTTCACGGAAGAGCGATATCTTTTACGATAGGCTTTTGCTCGTAAGCTTTCATTCTACCAGTATAGTAAGGCAAGTCAGATATATCAATGGAATGTAAGAAAACGAAAAAGGGTCGAAGCAAAAGCGACCGTGAGAAGCTGGATAGTCTGAATAGTCTGAAAAATGGTCCCAGATCTGGAAAAACATGAACGAACGCATTATGTAAAATCAGTGTCGTTGGAACACGTACCTTGAGATAACCCCTTGCGAAGGAAATCAAATTCAAAACCCAAACCCAAACCCAATACAGAACAAGCTCACCCAGCATCGGATTCGATGCGTCTACGAGTAAGAAATTGTGGCTCTTTCAGCAATCAGGGTGTCCAGGAGCGATGATTTGGGGAGGTTGTCTGCAAAAAAGAGCCTTCCAGTGCTTGATACGGTCTTCGATGAGGAAATTTCGCCTGATATCTTGCGAGTTCGTTCAAGTTGTGCATAAGTGTCCCGGTGAACAGTCGAGGGACTGGTCGACCATGTAAGGCGGCTGAATTTGCATTCTGCGCGTCGAAGTATCATGTATGTTAGCTAGAAAAAAAGGATAAAGAATATTATCGCGCACTTTTGGCATTTTCGTCCTACAAGATCTACGTCGACGGCTGGCTGACAGCTGTGCAGCATAACGACAAGAGAGCCGTTGTTTGAGGAGAGCCAACATGGCTGCATTCTTCTAGTCGGCAGGTGTTTGAACGAGTCTGAACGCTGGGTCGAAAACGAAACCTGCAACATTAGAGCCTCTGGAAATGCTTAACGAGTGAAAATGGAAAGCAGAAGATGACATTTGGAAATTCGAGCGTTAACGTTTGGATGTTTGAACTTGCTTTGAACACTAGCCCGTACAGATACTGAGATAGATGGTCGTCTATAACTAACTGCGACAAGAGCGCTTATTACAAAATTTATCTGCGCTAAGCGCCCGACTGATCTCAAGACGCTCCGACTTACGGTCCAGGGGCAAACCACCGTACACCGTGCACCATATTCGCCAACCTTGGGTGCATCATTGATAGTGACTTCCTGATTCGGACACATATGCCTAGGCGTACCTCCAAATCAACTTGGGCGCGCGCGCATCCGGAAATTGAACTTGAGCTTGAGCAGCTGCGAGAGGAACGACATAAATCCGACCTGCTACCGATAGATCTGAAAAGATAAACTTGATTCCAAGACTCAAAAGAAAAAGAAAAAAACCCTTGCGCTGACACTTCACCAAGAATTGACGCCTCCTAGCCGGCTTGAACGACTGACCTTTGCATTGTATTCCATAACGATCCATGTCCATCACACAACTTCGCAATGCTCTACCACTGACCTAAGGAGGCGTTACTGAGATGCGGAAGAAAGCTGGAGACGTCGATGATTGAGAGCAGTAGTACTGCTGAAACCCAGATATGGATCATGACTCGGAGATTAAAGATAGACCAGGCAGGAGATGCTAGACTGGGCCCCGGGTAGGTAAGTAGGTAGGTTGAGTTGTGTTAGTATGATACTACCACTACTACCACTACCGGGACAAAAATAATATCAAATACTTTCTCTCACTTTGCTATCGCTTTGCTAATGAGCACAGTGTGAAATTGTAGAAAGAAGATAATGAGGAGCGCGGTCATTGCACGGAAATCGAGTATCCGAGGCAAGAGCAGCCGAAAGAATGATATAAATCTCGATGACCGCGGGAACAACGTTTTAAATTCTCAGTAATAAGTAATTGCAAGTCCAAAAAAAAAACAGGAGACTCAATGGATATGCCTCCGAGCCGGATTCAAGAACGACTGCCCTTAGTTTGCATATGATTGTAAACACCAGATGGTTAATCCGCTACGCAAATGCAACGCTCCGCCACTGAGCTAAGAAAGCTTTATGAAGTTGGGGGGAGAGGAGGTGATGATGCTCAGATACCAAGGTTTGAGTATAGAAACTCATTGAATGTGGACCAAAGCGATCAGTTTAGAAATCGGAATGTACAGAGCTTGCAATTGCGCACCGATACATCCAAAAAAAAAAAAAAAAAAACTACTGATCCTTGATCACCATGCCTCTTGGTCGGATGAACAACTGCCTTTGCATTGTATTAATACGGATGCAAATTGAGCTGTATCCATGCGCAACGCTCTACCACTGAGCTGAGGCGTTCATATCAAGTACTAGGGAAGAAAGGTTAGATATGATACTCAGAGTCTCGGATACTTACAAGTTCTGAGGGAGGTACTGCTGGCTTGAAAGCAGTGGACCAACTGATCGTTTTAAGAATAGGAATGCGTACCGATACACTCGCTGAAACAAAAAATTAAATCAGGACTCGGGTGCGTTTTCATGCCTTCTAGTCGGATTGAACGACTGGCCTTTGCATTGTAAACACCTGATGGTTAGTTATTCTAAGTATTCTTTGACATCCTATACAAGTGCAACGCTCTACCACTGAGCTAAGAAGGCGTTATCGATGTAAGAAGAAAGCGGGCGATGATACTCGGATACAAAGGACTAAGGGCAGTACTGACTATTAGTAAAACCCAACCTTTGATAAAATCGGACGGTTGAGCAATGCGGATGTACAGAGCTTGTTCCGATAGAAAGAATCAAGGCAGAAAAATATAAATCATAATCTGCTAAGGCCCTTATGCCTTCCAGACGGATTGAACGACTGGCCTTTGCATTGTATGCGGGTCAACGCAGGCTTGTTATACAAGGGCAACGCTCTACCACTGAGCTAAGAAGGCTTTATGAAGTTGAGAACAAAACGGGTGATGATACTGGGAGAGAACTGTTAACCCCAGCCGTTGACAAACCTGGACGGTTTAGAAAAGGGGAGTACTGGGCTTGCTGTTCCGATAGAACCAAGATTGAACCAAGACAAAAAAAAAAGTGATAGAGCTTCTGAGTTGTTATCCCTATGTCTCCTAGCCGGATTGAACGACTGGCATTTGCATTGTAAGCAGCTCAACGCATGCATGTTAACAAGTGCAACGCTCTACCACTAAGGTAAGAAGGCTTTATGATGAAGAACAAGTAATAGTACTTAGGTTCGAGAGGAGTGCCGCTCTTGAAACATGAACGTGGACTAAACTGAACAGTAGCGTGAATGCACAACCTTGTGTATAGAGTCAAGGACACTTCACATACTGCTAGTAGTTGGATTGAAACGACGGACCTTTGCATTGTAGTAATACTATAGACATTGCGCAGACTTTTATATGCGAACGAGTGTTCTCTTCGCAAAAGACTAGGTAGCTAGGCTAGCGCAGACTTTATTCACGAACGAGTTTCTTCGTGAACTACAAGAAGGCTAGCCAGGCTAGCGCAGACAGTCACTCTCACCTGTTCTCAAATTTCAATTGACTGTGATATACGCGCTGCAGTACGCCGCAGTGCGTTAATGCTATGAAGCTACCGTACTCGAACTTGAAGATTACAGCGCAATTTATCCCAAGTACAGTAATTCATAATACCCATACAAAAAATCTCTATCTATCATCTATAGTATCATGATTCATGACTCGACATGAATTCTCAAGTGAAACTCGTACGTATGTCCTATCGTTATCCGACACTACCTTTAGGTCATGTCATTTCTATTCCCTCGCCTCTCCCTCCACCAATTTCTGCGGGTGCCCCTCAACATCCTTCCCAAAATTCTTCCCTCCCTTCTCCAAATCATGCTTCGCCTTCCTAGCCTTAAGCGCATCCAGCCCCTCCTGCTTGAGCTTCTCCTCATCCCCCCTCAAAAGCTCCTTATGCTTAATCATCGTAAAGCTCACCACAGTCGCCAATACCGCAAGAGAGGCATCAAGGAAAAATAAATTCCGGAATCCTATGGTATAGCCTTGTGTGAGAATCAGCGCAGCGGATTCTGAGGAGAGGGAGAGGGCGCCGGGTCTGGCGAGTATGGTGGGGTCGTCGACGATTGAGTTGATTGCGGAGGATGAGAGGCCTAAGGATAGCATGGTGGATTTCATGGCGTTGTTTCTGGTGAAACAGGAAATAGGAACAGTAGAAGAGAGCCGAATAGGCAATGTTGTTAGAAATCATATCGAAAACTGTGAAAAACTCGAAGAAGCTTACACCAAAGTAGACGCGATGGATAGCGAAAACGCTCCTCCAAGCATACGGATAAACTAAATACGCTCTTTTGTCAATACCCATATAGTGGCCATGAAGAAAAGGAAGAGCTTTTTACATACATTCCGGAATGCCGTAACAACCGACATATCCTTCCTCGCAACAGCAGCTTGTACTGCAACCGTAGTAGTTTGCATTGTCTGCAGCACAAGATAGTTAGTAAGGGGTGTCAATTCAACTCGAGGATAACTATCCAAGGACCAAAACCATGACTCACCATACCGCTTCCGACTCCAGCGAGAAGCATGAGTACCACCATTGTAGCTTTTGCAGTTGTTTCCTTGAACGTCGATATGCATCCACAGGCGATCGCAAGTACTCCGAACCCAGAGTAGACGATAGCCTTATATAAGTAGGGTAAGTATATCAATCGATGAGAAATTCCGACTGAACGCACCCTGTAACGACCAGTCCGACTTATAGTCATTCCCTATAAACATGGCAAAAGAATGATCCATGAACAAAGATACCAGCAATAATCCAGTCAGCCCAACTTACAGCGATCCAACTGGAGCTCATCTGTCCAATCAAAAGTGGAATCAAGAATAGACCTAATTTTTTTAAAAAGCAACAAAACAGGCCACAATTCATCAATAAAAATCCAAGACCATGAAACTCACACCTCCAAACATACCTGCATGTATCGGCGAATACCCCAGCGCCACTTGGAAGAATTGCGGGATGTAATAAAGGGAAGAAAAGAATACAAAGCCGCTACCGTTCGAAAATGTTAGAAAATGACAAGTTGAACGAATAAACAAACATAAAACCATCCAACTTGGAGTGACTTACTTGACAAACATGGAGATATACACCCCCGAGACCGTTTGGTGTTTGAAAATATACACTGCAAAGAAAAAAAGAAATCGAGATATTAGCCAACTATGAGGCATAGGAGCATAGGCGGGAGCACGACACGACCACCAAATCCCGAAACGTTACTCACTTGGCACAATAGGCAACCGCGCACCCTTCCATTCCCAAAGACAAAAAATCAAAACGACCAGGAACCCAGAACATAGAGGCGCAAGAACTATAGCCGAAACCCACCTTGTAATAATAACAATGACGGAGAGTCAGGGACGCTACTTCTACCTGGAATTAAATGAAGTCTCACGGGAAAGTAATTCCACCCTGTTCAAAGGAAAGTGAAAAAAAAAACAACGGGAGAAGAATCGTCAGTTACGTCCAGTAGCCGAAACGGCATGATACCACTCACCCAGATAAGCGGAAGCATGATAAGCGTACACGCCACGAGTGTTAAAATAGCTCCAAGATAATCCACGACCAGCAATTTTCTATATATATAAATCAGTTCACTAGGAAAACGAAGGCTTGAAACCGCCTCACTTGCGCATATCACCCTGAACAGGTTTCAGAGGTAAAACCAGAACCACCACCACCGTCGCGGTGAGGGCCACCGGCAGAGTGACCTACGTACGAGGAGGGCAAAGGGGGATAAGTAAGCGTCAACGTGGTGTCTTCAGGCTATCGCTTATGATTTTTACGTACCCAGAAACACCACTAAAAGCAGATTAAGGAAATTGAGAGTAAGAAAGAAGGTTCGTCAGTTGATAACATATGACATCCTATAAACCATACGACTCACCTTCCAGCCGACTTTTTCAGCTAAAACGCCTCCGATGACCTATATAAGAAAGAAATAATCCCAATTAGTGAAACGAACCAATAGACGAAATAAAGAACTGAAAAAATAAATTAGTAAGTACACGTACCGGTCCAACTGTATACCCCATAGCAACAACCCCTCCAATGATACCCTGGTACTTGCCCCTACACGTAAAAAAAAAGTAAGAACAAGTGAGTATACATGTACATATCATGCGCACACATAACAAAAAACACACACCTCTCTCTCAACGTAATAATATCTGATATGATAATCTGCATCATGCCAATAATTCCCCCTCCTCCGGCTCCAGCCACGCCCCTAAACACGATGATTTGGATAATACTCTTGGAGAACCCCGCGATGAGGTTCCCCGCCATGTACAGAGACATCGCAATGCACATGGCGCTTTTTCGGCCGAAGATATCGCTGAAGCGTCCGTAGAGGGGCTGGAAAGCAGTGCTGGTCATCAGGTACTGGGGAAGTGGGGGAGTGGCTAGTTGAGTCGATCAGCTAATTTGAAAGCGGAGGATTTATTCGTACCGCTGAAGGAACCCAAGAGATAATAGACCCCGCATGGAAAGCACTAGCTACAGTCGACAATGCCGTCGCAACGATAACTGTAAACATATAGATTTACCATCAATAGAGTCATCTATGACGCCTCCGATAATATATATACGCACCGGAATCCAAAGCAGAAACAACAACACAAAGCGAAAGCGCCATAAACACCGTAACCACTTGTTTGAAAGGCAACAGATTAGTCTGATCCGTCAGCTGCACCCCACTCGGAGGCGAAGGTGTCTTCGATTCGGTTTCATATGCATGTTCGTTCTTCGTTGCTGTCTCTGATTCGAGCATAAGTTCAGCATCTGGGGAGGACTCGCTGATGGATACTTCGCGAGGGGGCGTGCTAGCCATTAGTGCGATCTAGCGGGGGTATCAAAATACATTCCAGTTACTAAGTAGTGGATATTTATACCGCTTTTTTGTAACCCCACCCCACGGGCCACGCCGCACGCTGTTTCTATTTTCATCGTAAAAAAAAAAAAGTGTGCCGGTGAAGCCGAGTCCGAAAAATCCGATGGGTTGAAAGAAAAGTTTATTTTCTAATTGGTTCAACGATCGGCATGAACGATTGTTCGGTGAGCTATATGTGCTAGATGAAGCTGCTGGTCAAGTTCAAGTTGAAGCAAAAGTGGTACAAGCTCCAACGTTCACACCTGGTTGTCCGCTGGAAAATTTTGTATTGCGCGGCACTGCGGACCGAATCATACCTTAAAATACCGAGATGCTCGGATAGCGAGCGTCGGTCGACGTCGAGCGAGTATAAGAATGAAGGAAAAGGCTGTGATACGGAATAGTAAATGTCTATCGAACCCCTCTGTACATGATTCTCCCCCCTCATGCTATCAAAAGATGGGTCAATGCAAACCAAAGCGATAGAAAAGACACTTCGACTCGAGCTAGTATAACAACACTATCACCCGGTTTCAATGCCATCGCGAGCTCATGCCCAAGCCCCCCACAGGCTCTCAGAGACTTTGCATCTTTCGGACCATCAGCCTCCTGCCTAGTCCAAACAACCGAGTGGCGTCAAATCACCGACTCGTGTCGTGGGCAGTCAGATTCCTCGCGGTATGCCAACGTAAGTTATCGGCTGCGAAAACCTGCTGGTAATCCTCCGCGATAGCTAGCTCCGCCGGTCTGGAACGATACACCAACAGGCCAAGAATTCAACGCATTGTCAAGCCACTTGTTCTAGGTTCGCTGATATCCCGGGCTACGGTTGCTTCGAACCGCGAGCATGGTCCAGGACGTCCATGATCTGGCGTTGGTTCAGATCCTCGGCAAGCTGAAACATTAAAACTACTCACCCCAGCCTTGATCGCTACTACCCTTAATATCTATCCGTTTGACGTGGGGAATCTGCAGACTTTTGCAGCGCAGTACGTTGGGTACAGGAAGGGAAAGAAGATAACACGCAGCGGCTTTCACTGACCAACTGTTTGCATCCCGGAGGAGGCAAAGTCGTGGTGAACGTGTATCACAGATTTTCATAACAGGATCGGAGGGCAGTAGGCTCGTTGTGGATCGCAGCGGTTCCAGCATAGTCCTTCCAACCCGAGGAGTAGCGAGCGCAGAAAACGACGGCGATAGGATTCCAACTGCCGATGTTTGAGAGGGCGATCAATCGCAGGGTAGGGGCCTGTAGGGACTCAGAGAGTCGTTGGGCAATG